CCTCTAGCACCATAGATGTCTTCCATGATTTCTCAAAGATTACTGAATTACAAGTATCTGCAAGCTTCCTCAGGATTCTGGTTTTGATTCTGGAATCTTAAACTTATCCATGATATCCAGGTACCCACCTCTTCACTTACCTTGGGTTGCCACTCCATGTATCACTTAGATCCATTTGATCTCAGGACCCCTTTGAGGTGACCAAAGTAAAATAGAAGTTGAAGTTTTACCTTATTACCATCCTACCATCTTTTTCTAGAAGCAGACCCAATCCTTTTTCTTCCTGTTTCTACTGCCATAGCACAAAAAGCCTTTTTTACACCTTTGAGCTTCTCTTGCAAACCAATGTGCATTTTGTGCCACAGCAGGAGGAATGCAGCATTACAACTTCAGGGATGCTGAGGGATATTGAATTATGTCGTGGACTCTTTTAACATTGACTAGTCAGCCAATGAGTTTTATCACATTCAATTCTCATGTCAGAGCTTTTCTGAGATGGGAGAGCCAACATTGTATGGATGGCAAACATCTGTTTTGCAATACTAATACTTATAGGCACTGGCTTAAACACTTATTAATATGGGGTGGCAAGGCTATGCATCCCACCTTTGTTACACTGTAACTGTCTCTGGAGTCCTTGGGGTTCTGAGAGCTTGGTTGTTTTCTTGCAAACATTTCATTACCCAGCTAGGCAACATCTTCAGCGCTAGAATGGAATGGGGTTTGCTCTCTGTTTATATACAGTGGCATGCCCTGCCAGTGTTGGTAGGGGTGGGGGTTTTATTTTGTTCTATTTTTTCCTCTGGTAGTTCCTTGATTAAGGCATTGTTTGCTGCTTGTTCATCTGGTGGTAATCTTGGTATGTGTCTGCTATGCTGATCAACTGAGTATTGCCAACAAGCCAATTTTGACACAGCTAAGTCCTGCCATTAATGAAGAACTGTGGCTCCCCCATCCCCTCATCTTTGAGATGTCCTAGTCTTTCCTTTCAGATTTCAAAGCCAAGTTCTGAGAAACTGAGCAGAAACTGACTACCAACAAAGCTCCTCCTGAATACACAGGTTGTCCCTTCCACTAGGTATCTTCCCTCTTATTGACTCAAATTTTCTAGGAAAGGATAGTTCCTGTACAATTTTGGCAGGCAGGCTTTTCTCCCTTATTAAGCAGTTTTATGACTATTTAAAATCGTACTTCAAAACAGTCGAATATTTTCAAATACTTTAAAATCATAGTTTGTTCCACAGATCATTTCCCTAGAGAAATTCTGAATGGGAAAAATGAAACATAAATCATGCTGCTTTCTCTCTCTCATGTCTTAGAACTGATTGATTTGCTGTTTACAAAGTTATCTCTGCTCTTTAAATCATGAACATCTCATCTGTCTCTACAATGTATGACTGCAAGAGAAATTCTGCAGTGCAGATTTTGAACCAGTGTGGGACCATGCCCCATTCCGGTTCTCCAGAAACTTAGAAGTAATCTTTGAGTTTTAAAGTTTGTAAAATCATATTCTTCCTCACCTATTTCTTAACTGAGGAAAGCTCAACCACTGAATTCTATACCCTTAAAACTGGGAGGAAAAAAAAGAGAGGAACAGGTCTTGATAGCAGGTACTTATTTCCTCTCCAAGTGACCCACATCTCCTCTGAAAATGGTATCTTCCTAATATCCCATCCTGATGCAACTCATGAGAAGAACTGCTAGCTAAATTGGTGTTCCCATCTCAAAAGAATGTCACCCCACAAAGCGTATGCCGAATTGCAGGCTTTAAATGGCATCCCATGAGGCACGTGCTAGAGAAGCATGCAAGGGCAAGACAAAGAAATTAAGGCAGTTCTTTTTATTCACGGTAACTTGGCCAGTAGGAAAAAAAAATGAAACAATTCTTGCAGACTACACTGTTTCATCTCTTCAAAAATGAAACAGTCAGCTGGCTAAAAAATATCCAGGGCAACTCATTCCCCTGTGGGTACTTCTAAACTGTATAGTAGCAAAATTTTGCCGAGGCAGTTGACAATCTAATTTGTTAAACAAACAAACAATGCTTTTTCTTCACTAAGGGAACTGGGTATTATAAGAAGACTGTACATATCTATTTTTCACCACTTCTTCTCAAGGTAAAGAAAGCAGGAAGGAGAAGAGGTAACCCAAAATTCTTAATTTATTTCTGTGAAGAGTATGAGAGGGGAAAAAAATCACTATCTAAACCAGCATGGATGTAACCAATGCAGGCCATAAATGCAGCTTCTACTGGAAGTACTTGATAAAAGATAGCAGTAAACAATTCTGCCTGCACAAAACCATTTTTGGACTAAGTTTTAATTATGCAGGTTATTTTTCAGAAGTGAAATCTAAAAGTACATTCTAGATGTAAAAAGAAAAACAACAAGCATGAAAAACTGCTGTTTATTTCAGTTAGGAACTACACTCCTGGGGCAATATACTTATCTCAAAATTTCCCTGCTTCAGAAAGTGTGTGTAGAATACCTGAAAATCATGGAATGTTCATAATACCTATTGCTTCTAGATACTCTCATGTCCTGCTAAGCATACTCAGGGCCACAGCCTCCATCAAACCTCGCAAGTCTGGCCAACAGAAAGATGTAAAATGTAGTTCAAAAGTTCTGGAGAGGATCTGATTGGGAAGGGAGGGCATAATCATTGCATAATAAAACATACCATTATCACATTTGGAATAGCGATTGCCCCCAAACCCCAAATTTAATTAATACAATCTCATTCAAAAATGATTTTGTTTACAACTAAAACAGCTCTTATAAAAACATAAGTAATAAAGGTTGCCAAACACTACTCAAATGTGCTATTCCAAAACCGGGTAAATGGTTAGGTTAAATAGAGAGAATTCACATTTTCCATGAAGGCACACAATGCCCAGCAGAAGAGAGCAGATACGTAAAATACAGTAGAGGGAAGAGGAAGAAAGGGGGCTCTGCTATATTGTGTAATTATTTCACAGTAATTATTGCTGCACAATATTTTGAAAGTAGTATAAGCGATATTAAAACTGAAAGCAAAAGTTATGAAGAATATGCTACATATTCATATATGCAAACTATAGGTGGATACTTTATATTGCTATTAAATGGATACTTCTTCTGTCAGCTATAAAATTATGAAACATTAAATCTTTGAAACAATTATTTCAATACCTCTGCCTTCAAACTTTATATATTAAAATAGCAATTGTTCCGTCAATTATAGCCATTTAGATAAAAACTTTAACAGTGAAATTAGTTATTGTTAAAGCTATGAATTACTTATACTCCATAGCTATAATTAAAAGATATGAAATTCACAAATATAAAAAATACATTAGTTCATATGTGGTTGACTTTAATTTCCATTTCTTATTAAAAAGCTAATTTAAAAAGCAATTTGAAATATTGGCATTTTTCTATATGCAACAGTATAAAAAGGCAAAATAACCTACTTTGAGGTAGTAATGCCAAGTCACAAAATTTGAATACAGTTTCCTATTTTCATAATGCATTTATCATATTTAAATGAAGTTATCAACTCCTGAAATCTGTTTCACAGTAATACAATACTTTACATTTTTTTTTTCAAAAATACTGGAAATGGTTGTAATTAAAAAAAAAAAATCCAAACTTTAAAAAGCATTTCCATTTTACAGTCAAACATTGTAAAACAAACTCTTTCAATGTTATAAAGGAAAGCTGCGGTATAATGGAATGGTTTGTAGGAAAAAATGCTTTTTTCCAGTTTGTACAATATTCCACACCTTGCACTACTTGCTATATCACTAAATAAAGCACTATTGTTTTTTACCACTAAGATTTCCAAAACCTGAGACATTTCATGTGACCTGTATGGGCATCTTCACATATTCCCTTACAACAATCTGTACTGTGTACAATGGTATTGAGCTACAGACTTCCATGGGTATGTTATAACCATTGTTCAGATCTTAAATGGGAGCCTGTTTTCATCAGGGAGAAAAATCATATATTATGACTCCTCTAAGCTCTATCTTTTTGCCAAAATCTCTAAGAGAATCAAATGGGGGAAACTAGGTACAGGTAGTCCTCAACTTACGACCATTCATTTAGCAACCATTAAAAGTTACAGCGGCACTGAATGAAGGGACTTACAACCCATGCCCAAAGTTATGGTTGTTACAGCGCCCCCAGAGTTACGTGATCAAAATCTGGGCACTTGGCAGCCCGCCTGCACTTAAGACCAGAGGCGCTTCAACTCCCCCCCCATCTCTGCCCTTTTGGCCCTCTGCCACCCTGCACTCCACCACCCCAGCTGATCTTTGCCATCTTCTTGCTCCTGCTGCTGACGAGGCATGCCTGGCCTGGCTGCTGGGTTGGGGCTGAGCTCTGCACTTGCAGGGGGCGGGGGTAAGCAGAAAACAGCCCCACAGCCATGGCACTCCAAAAAGCCCCTTTGCGCCACGCTCCTGGGCCAGGTGGAGCTTCACACTGTCGAAAAAAAGAAAGGAGAAAGCAGCCCAAAGCTGCAGCACAGCACAAAGCCCAGTACCAGCCTGGTCCATGAGTGTGGCACAAAGGGGCTTTTTGGTGCGCTACGGCTCAGGGGCTGCTTTTTGGGGTTTTTTCCTAGTGCAAAGGCTAACCCCACCTCACCCCACTCCACCCAGGAGCATGGTGCAAAGGGGCCTTTTGGCATGCCGTGGCTCAGGGACTGCTTTCTGCCTTTCTTTTTTTTCCAAAGCACAAAGCCAGCCCCAGCCCAGCCCAGCCGCCAGGCCAGACACACCTTGTCAGCAGCGGGAGCAAGATGACAGCAAAGGTCAGCTGGGGTGGTAGAGCGCAGGGAGGCAGGGGTCTTGGAGCGCAGGGTGGTGAGGGCGATTAGGGCTGGGACTGAGGCAGCTGCGGCTTCCTGGGGCATGGCAAGCAGTCCCAGAGCTAGATAGTTCTGGGGCTGCTTGCCGCCCCACAAGGCAGGGTGTAGAGCAGCCAAAAGGGCAGAGATGGAGGGGGAGATAGGCAGGTGTGGGGAGCTGGAGGCAGTCCCTTACCTTACTGAGGCTCAGGGCTGGGAGGGACCAAGCCTGGAATGGCATGGATTAGGGTGGGTACTTGGTTAACAACGGCAACTGGGACTGTCAGGATTGCCATCGCTAAGCGATGCAGTCACATGACATCTCACTTTACGACCCCATTGCTTAGCAATCATAAGTGGTCATAAGACATGGACTACCTATACGGGAGACAGATCTGAGTGAGAACAAATGTAATTAGGTAACTTAGCATGAGCATAATGAAGGTTGTTTTCCACTGGATCTTGCTATACAGTTAATTTTTTATATGATACTTTTTGACCAAGGTTCCCTTAGCCTATGAATGGCTAAAAATACAAAATAAAATTATAGAGAAAGGAAATACTGGGAATTAAACCCTAAATTTGGTTTTCTTTTCTACAGGACAGAGAATGAACATTACTGATCAGACAACCAGTTCATAAAGCATACAAATTACTTGATACTTTTCATGCACTATACACTAGTTTATTGTTTCTTAATAAAAAAAATATGTCACTTAAAATGGCAAATGGTTAAAAAGTTATAAGGCAGCATCAATTAGATTGCTGGTAAAAAAAATCTGCAAATTCACTATGTAAATGTATTTTAAGAAAATCCAGTACAATTAATATATATTCCAAGTGCAAAGGTAGGAGGTATGTTCTCTACAACAAAGAAGTTTTCATTGCCGAAACTGTGTATCCTGCATCAGGGAGTTGCTCAATAGATGTATGGGAATATGCGATAGGGTACACGTTGGCAGTATTTTTCCCATGCCAAACCATATTTTTTCTTACACTGATGTTCGTCACGGGCTTCTCGATGAATAAGCAAACCAGTAAAATATATGACATAGAAATACGGTAAAATATGATTGAACCCTATAAAAATATATAAAAAGAGTCATTACTTTTTCTGCATCCCATCAGTCATAATGTAATTGTAAGCACAGAAATATATATAAAAATTTAATGTGCGGTATTAAAATATCTTAATTGTAATTTTAAAATCTAGTTAATCTAGTAATTAGTAATTATAAAATATTTATGTGGGGGGGTTTATTAGTTTTTTTCAACTACTGAAGTTTATTTTTTTATCATTACGAATGCATTCAAAAATACATATTTTTTTGCTATTGCTATTACTTTTATACCTAAGTATTACTTATATATACTTTTAGCTCTTGCTATTACTTACATTTCATAGAAATACAGCAAAGGAATATTGTCAGGAAGGATAATCACATTATTGTCTATGGTGTATCTCTTTCTTTTTCAATTCTTTTCTCCTCCTGTGAAAATTATTTTCTTATTTTCAAGCATTTTATTATATTTTTTTGCTGTATGCCGCCCAGAGTCACTTCTTGGGTGGTAGTATATAAATTTGATAAATAAATAAATATAAATCCTTGATAGTGAGAAACCTACATTACTGTCAGTAACTATCACACCATCAACAGCATAGAAATTCAAAAGAATCAGGAAAAATGTATCTTAAAATAAAATACTTTATTAACTTACCACAAGGTAGGGACCAAGCCAGGGCCATAATGATATCACCTAAATAATTAGGATGGCGCACCAAGCCCCACCAGCCAGATACAAGGAGGCTTTTTCCAGTTGCAGTAGGAATAACATTCAAATCTGTATAACAATACATACAAGTATATATTATAGAATGCAGTAGAAAACATACCTATGAATAAATAGTACATAGAGTATTGATATAAAACCAGTACATGTAAACAGTACTTACGAGCAAGTTTTGAATCCTTTGGATTTCTTCGAAATAAATTCTTTTCTGAGTTGGCAGCACGGAAAATGTAATATCCAACAACTTGGAAAAAAAGAAAAAGTACTGATTATAAGATAGAAAAATGCCAACCACACAGTATACATTCTATTATTATCTGCTATCATTTCACAATAATAATAATGACAACGGCAACATTTTTATGGATGCATATATCTTTCAATTCTATCATCACTAGGTTCAGCCTTTAGCAAACCTAGACTCTATTACTAATATGTCATCAATGTACTACACTCTACCCTAACAAGTAACACATTCACGGTTCTCAACTTAGTTATACAAAGGATGGAATTCGCCTTGGGTTTCCCTGCAGCTGGTCCCCTTTTCCTGCATTTCCTTTCCTTTCCTGGATGAGGAATGTTATGGAGCTGATTTGGAGGATAATGGGAGCTGCAGGAGCTGAAAATTGCTATTGCAATTCTACGCCATAAAAGCTTTTATCAATGAAAAGGACTGAATGAAAAAAAAGTATCAAAATTTAAAGATTAAAATTTGAATAATGGAATATGTGCATCTTTCTACATACTTTCTTGCAATATGTTGATTATATTCCCATTTTAGGATTTAGTATACTTCCAAGCTAATTGTTATGACAAATATTATACTACTAGTGACAGTATTTCACTATCCATGAAAATACAAATATTGTAATCACAGAGTTTAGAAAAAATCCTGGAAATCATCTAAATCAAGGGTGGCTTTCTATTATGGTTGGACTACAACTTCCACAATAACTGACAACTGGGGTAAGGAAGAATTTGCATACATCATCATCTGCAAGTCCACAATTCCCTCGTCTCATATCACCTCATCTCTTGCGGATCATTGACCGCATAGTATTATTATTGTTGGTCGCACAGTCAGCCAGATGTTTGGACTGGATCTGGCATTTTTATCCACCTATCGAGTCCTTCCCAAGGACCTGGGATAGCCAGATGATGTTGTTCAATGGTGTTAAAGGTATTGTCGCAGGATGTAAGCTGTTCCAAGTAAAGCTGCCTTTTGCAATTGACTGGTGGTGATTTTGTCAATGCCAATGTGTTCAAGTGGTGCTCCAAATGTTTTAGGATTGCACCCAAGGCACTTATTATTATTGTTGTTGTTATTATTCCATCTCCTGCTCAGTACTGATTGGGGAGAAATGTTTGTTTGTTTGTTTGTTTATTAAATTTATATGCTGCCCATCTTCCCCAGAGGGTGACTCTGGGCAGCTCACAATTAAAATATGAGTTTAGTTGAAATCTATTGTGCTGTACTATGTAGTAATGCAAAAGCATCTTTTCTTATTACTAAGTCATAACTTACTATTCAGAGTCAGAATTGCAGAAGCTGCAGGCCACGAAATCTCATTTGGATTATTCACTAAATAGAATGCTTGTAAACTGTAGAGAAAGGGAACCCACACTAAGTCTCCAAACGCTAGCATGAATCCAAACCCCTCACTTGTTATGTCCATTGTCGTTAAAATTGCTTCCTAAAATGTTAACAGAAAAGTATTAAATTAGCATTTAGGTAAGAAACTTTCAAAACAGCTAAAATATTACCATCTTTGCTTCTTTAAATGCATGCCCCATTATACAGCACCTTTTGCAAGGATATCTTTCATTAAACCATTAAGAAATGTCTATAAATTCTGAGTTCACACTTTTCTAAATTAGAATACATTTATTTATAATTCCCATTTAGTAGGGCATTACTGCTCTATAAAACGCTCAGTCTTTTCTACAATTTATGTGTCTAAGCCAAAACAACTTTTTCATAGTTTAACTTTTAAAAGACAAGTTATAGCCTTTTCTTTAGATTCAACTTATTCTAATAGTAAACTCAGATGACTGAGTACAGAGATTTGAGACAAAATTGGGCCAATGAGCAATAAAAGGGACATTTCAGTGAGGTTCAATTATTTTTGAGATATGTGGAAGATAAAAAAGCTTTTAAACTTCCTAAACAAGATGTTCAAGAATGATGGGCGCAAGTCCCCAAAAGGGTAGGGGAAAAAATGTCCCTTTATAAATGGTCCTGGGGTATGAAGGAGATTAAATGGAAAATGAGAGAAATTTACTCTCAGAAACCATAAACACTTACTCCCATCATTATTTTCACAAATATGACTCCAACTGATGCTGTTGAAATTCAGCCATTCTGCATAATTACAACCTGGTTTTGGCATCAGTGTGCATGTCAAGCGTGGGAATGAAAATGAATTAACTCAGAGAGACTCGTGCAATCATTCTCCCCTTTTAAAAAATAAAAAATAAACCAACCCCAAACAGAAACTAAACTATCCCTCACTAATACAAATAAAAACACTACCGTCATCGATATTCAGGAACTTTGCCTATGAATTTCAGCAATGCAATCTCAAGATTCATACAGGAGCCAGTAATGGGACAACGTAGGGCTGCATATGGCCTGTGAGCTGCCCATTACTGGCTAATGAACAGCAACCATCCTCAGTGCTTTCTGGATGCCACAGAAACTTGCTTCCAAGGGAACTGGTTATACATGCACATATATGTAGAGATAACTGGGAGTAATTTTTCAAGCAGCCTGCTTTGCAGTTTGAAAAAAGGTGCTTCATGTGTGTTCTTGCTTGTTGTGAAAGATCTTCTCTGATTGCTTTGTGCAGCCCTAATTTAATTCCTAATCTGAATTCCTGAACCTTTAATATATTCATCACTTTTTCCTGGATACTAAATTCTGACTACTTTCCCTGGAGACTTTGCCCAATTTGATTCATCTAGTTAAAAAAAAGGAATGCTATAAAGGTTTATAGATGTAAAGAGCAGCAAATATGCAAAATATAGATAACTGCATACTAATTCTTCAAGCTTTTAACTACAGTAGAACTCAATGTCATTTTAGCAGATTTTCACTAATGCAATTGGATTTTCTATTTCCGTGTAGCCTTCAAATCTATTTGTGAGAGCTCGGTACCTCTGGAACAGATTATTAATTCAAGCTGCAGAAGGAAGAGGAAATTAATACCCCTTCTCCTCTGTTAGTTTGTGTGGAGTAGCAGTTAAATGGATGGACTACGACAAGGAAGACCACATTTAAGCCCATATTCAATAATAGAAGTTTACTGAAAGATTCTATATTAATCATTATCTATCTAACCTACTTTACAAGCTTGTATACCACCTTACGTTTTTAGAGGAAAGACAAGATATATGAACCTTACAAGTAAATAAAATTACAATTTGTTAAGATTAATAATAATTTATTCTCAGAATATTATCAATTGCCAGTTACCTCATTCCAAAGAGCATCCACCACATAGAGGAGCTGGAAACTATTAACAAGTATCATTGACACAGAGGGCATATTCCGATCTTGCACTTTCATCTCAGTCAAAAGCATGGCCAAGTTAATAACAGCCTTTAGAAAAATTAAATTGCATGTCATCCATTTTCATTCTTAAAATTCTACAGTGATCTAATTCAGCCTATATCATATAATCATAATTTTAAATAAAATATTTCAAATGGCATCCTCTTCACAGAAAACACTTCAATGATATTTAAGTTCAATATTATGTATTACATGCCCTTTTGCATTTAGCTTATCTAGAGAAACTTCCATAACTATAAATTTATATTTATATGCAGCTATGAATAAGGCTGCCACAATAATATATTTTCCACTACTTTGCCCATTTCTTCCTCATCACATTATTTATTTTATTTATAAAATTAAAGAATGTGCAACAAGAGATTAATATTCTTACTCACCCAGCCAATTAGCCCTGGTCGTAACTCACAGAAGTATTTCAGATCAAAATTTCCAATGCGAGGATTTAACTCACGTCCCATTAAAAAATCATAAAAGATATTCCCTACAAATAAGAATATATGTATGGTTCCTTTGAATTTTCTAGTGAAAGCCCCATAATAGATTATAAAACAAGAGAGGAGTAACATAAATAACGGGCGCTACTATATTCTGAAATTATACTATTTTCAATATGCATACATAAAAACTTTATTAAGGCCAAAAGCAAGCTGAAAATTTTTCCACAGAACTTCACTTACCAGAATTTCCTCCAGGGGATAATTCTTGCTCACGTGCTTTCAGGGAACGGGCATAGAGATAAATGCTCAACAGTAAACTAAAAACTGTAGCACAGGTAGCAAATTGCAGGAAGTGGTCATATAAGTAATAAGGCTCCATTTCAAAATACAGAGATATTCCCACAGCTACAGCTGTTAGGATAAAAGCGTAGATTCCTTAAAATAGAAGAGAAACAACAACTGAGACACACTTTTCAAAAATAACAAAACAGGTACTATGATTTAGCAGCTTGCCACCAAATTTTCTACTGCAATTTTGATGTGGGGGAATCAGATCATTGCCAAAATCTGTTTGGGACTGTATGCAGCCCATTACCCATCTGCAATGTGGTGTGATGTCTGAACTGACACCATTCTTTGCAACTGGCTAGAGAACAAGAAATGAGAAAGCATGGTTGCTCATACATTTCAGTTCAAATAAATCATCCAAAAAGCAATAGTCATCTGCCTCAGTTGTGACCATGACTGCAATAAACAGGTTGAAACAGGGCCTGTACAAATCAAATCCCCAAACAACAGTTTGGAATAACAACAGTATTCTACGAAATCAGAGACAAGGGATTTTCAATGCAGGATGTATTCTGGCCTACCAGAAACATCCTGTGAGACTCCCACCACCATTAATGCTTATCTAGCCCTCTGTGACTGAATGTTATTCTGTAGTTGCAGGGGGAAAAATGAAATATTTTTTTAAAAAAATTAAAAATTGAGTACCATCCTTCAAAATTAGATTTTACCGGGACAATGTATAGCTCACTAAAATCAGAAATTAATGCAATAAATAATAAAATAAATAGCTACTAGAAAGTAGTTAAACTTTCTAAACAGTACATATAATTAATTCATTAATGAATTAAAATGAATGGGAGATTCAAAATATCTCTGCCTGCCACCAAAAAGCAACAAAGTTGGCCAGAAATACGGACACCATTTCAGAATTGGGAGGTTACAACTGAAAAGGCCCATCTCTGGATAGCTATTTGTCATACCTCAGCACAGGGGAAAACCCAGAACAAAACCAAGATATCAGAAACCAGAAGCAGCCTAGTAGCATCTTTTTGGACTAACAAATTTTTATTAAAAAACAGAAGCCTTTATAAGCTGGGGGGTCGGTGGAGTGGGTTTTGTATTGGGATTTTTATTTTTGTAAGCCACCCAGAGTCACCGTGAATGAGTTGGGTGGCCAAATAAATTGTTTAAATAAATAAAAATAAAATAAATAAGCTATAGCTTAATTCATTCAATGAATTAAGGGAACAATGAATTAGGGGAACAGGCTTCAACTGAACCCTGGCAAGATGGAGTAGCTGTGGGTTCAGGCCTCTCCCATATCTGGGGTTCTTTGGTTCTGGATAGGGTTTCACTACCCCAGACAGACCTCGTGCGCAATTTGGGGGTCCTCCTGGAATCACAACTCCTGCTTCAGGAGCAGGTGGCAGTCATGGCTAGGAGGGCTTTTGTTCAACTTCGTGTTGTGTATCAGTTGTGCCCTCTCCTAGATCGGGAAGCCCTTCTCTTGGTCACTCATGCCCTGGTTATCTCCTGCATGGACTACTGCAATGCACTCTACATGGGGCTACCCTTGAAAAATATCTGGAAGCTGCAGCTGGTACAGAATGCAGCAGCACAGGCAGTTTTGAGCACCCCTAGGGTTGTGCATGTAACACCTCTGCTGCGTGAGCTGCACTGGGTGCCAGTTTGCTTCTGGGTCTAATTCAAAGTGTTGGTTATGACCTTTAAAGTCCTTCATGGCATGGGCCCAGACTACCTAAAGTACTGTCTTGGCCCAGTTACATCAGCCCATCCCACTTGGTCCAGCAGGAAGGGCATGTTCCAGACCCCATCGGTTAGAGAATTTTGACTGATGGGGTCTAGGAGGACAGCCTTTTCCGCCCTTGCCCCCACCCTGTGGAATAACTTGCCTCCTGAGGTGAGGCTGGCCTTCCAGGAGAGCCTTAAGATCTGGCTTTGCCGACTAGCTTGGGGATCCAATGGGGGCTCCCAACATTGGGGGTGGCTGGTGCCTTGAGGATGCTCTCTTCATCTTTTAACTTTGTCTGCAGACTTTTAATGAGCTTTGTAGTTTTTAAATGTTTTTATGTTTTTTACTTGTGAGCTGCCTAGAGTCACTGATAGTGAGATGGGCGACATATAAATTTTATTTATAAATAAAATAAAAGTGTGGATTAATTAACTGATGTAGGATTTAAATCTATTAAGATACTGTAATTCTAAGCGAGACAGAGCTTTATCAGTTAATACAAGAACCTTGAGTTGGGATCAGGAGCTGAAGAATAAAAATTGCAGTATGTAACTTAAATACAAGAATTGATCATAACTGCATCAGATAAGCAAATTCCAAAGAAACTGAAAATACATATTTACCATTTATTCTATATTCCAGCCTAATTCCATTCCAAAGAGGTACCCCTTCTACAATCTGAAAAGAAAAAGATATTTTCACCTAAAATATTCAAATTTTCATAGATTGTGCAAGAGTAATAAAAGAAATCATAAGATTAAAATATTTATATATATTTTATAATATATATAAAAATAAAAATACACATACATCCACACACACCCACATATACATACACATGCACATTTGATATATAGGAAGCAGAACACTATATAGTACTATGAAATGTGTGTTTTCATCAATGAGAGGGAGTAAAACAAAAAGTAACTACTAGATCTTTCCACTCAATCATGGAGACCATCTGGAAAAATACTAAAACTATCCATCACAATCTGTTATTTGGAGGAAAGATGGCATTTTGTTTAGCATCCAATTCTTTGGATTTAGAGGTTTTATTCTACTGCAGGAGTGTCCCCAGGCACAATTCCAACCAGAATTTGATGGAAAGGCATGAAAGCAATCTTTGCCAACTCCCCTTTCCTTCTGCCAGTTCCCAACACCATGTCCAAAGTTTGGAGGATTTCTAACCCTCTAAAGACTAAACCCTCTAAAGGAGAGAGAGGGGGAGGAAACTGGTAAAGATCATTTCCTATTTGACTAGCAGAAAAACTTCACTGCACCAAAAACCATTGATAGACCCATTCTATACACTGGATGATTTGTAGAATATCAATGTTTCTTTAAGAGAAATCATTACAGAATGGAGGAAGATGTGTGACAAAAGCACTATCCAGTATATTAAAAAAAACAACCCAAAATTAAAATAAACACTCCCCTCATCAATATATATCACAAAAAAGGCTCCAAAATCAATATACTATTGAAAACTGAAACTGACATTTGCTCTTCTCTTCATCTCATATAACCACTTTATAATGGGGGTGCTGCTATAGCATTTATACAACATAAAATAGGATTTTTAAAAATACTGTTTTTAGAACTGTGAAGTTAGAATGCTCTTTTATAAATTAAAACATTAAATTTCGACTTCTAAAAGTTTTACCTTTCCTATAGGCAATAAGTAAAATAGAGCTTGGAGAAAGAACCAAAGAAGAAAGACACCAAACACTCTTGTCTCCCATAAATTTTGGAAAGCTGGGAGTGGAGGAGGAAAATTCAAAAGGCTGGGGTCTTTCTGTGTGCACATTAGCAACAGGTAGAACACAATTCCAGGCAGAAGAAATATCATAAGGAAGGCACCTAAAAAAAAATAATTATACAATTATTAGAATCAATTCAGTTCCAAGGAAGCCTTCCAGCAAGAAAGGTAACCAACTGATTGTAACTAAAATATCTGTATCCACAAACTTTTATGTTCAAAATTATTTTCTCTATTGATGTGAATGGGAAGTTGAGAACTTCAGTTGTGCATGAAAGACTGCAGATTGTTGTACAACTATAATTTATGACTTTCAAGACTAGCATACCAATTTTTCCTCCAAATACTAGTTCTTTTGTCTTCTGGCATTCTTTCCCAATACTTTTTGGTGTTTCAAAAATTTTCTCTTCTGAATACATCTCCTCTCTTCTCTTCTCCTCCTTTCTAGGATGCAAACTGTATCGCTCCAGAATGCGCTCTCTTGCTCGCTCAGACTCAATTCTTTGCTGCTAAACACAAACAGTGTAGGAGGAAAAACAATTTGCTATCATTCATTAGTACATACTAAAGAACCATCCTCAAGTCACGTATTATTGCTCCCCAATCCCTCACTTGTTTTGCTGGCTATCTATAGTCATTATTTCCAATAGTCCACTTAAAACATAGTACACATACATATCCCATAGCAGCAAGTTTTATGCACAATCAGTTCACTATCTATTAATAATAATGCATATGTCTCTTCTGTTAAAAAATCTACATTTCCTATAGCATAATATTTTCAAATGGATATTCTTCTTCCTTAAAACACTGAAGAGGAATTAACTTTAGGCAGTTAGCTAGGTTCCGTACAATATTGGAACTGTATATTTTTGTCAAACATTATTCTTAGTATTTCATACCTCTAAAATAGCATGAGAATAATTCACTTCTCTGATATCTGGCTCTCCATTATACTGATTGGTATTATTTTCATGCAGCTTCTAGATTGAAGAAACAGGGTTTTTTTAAGAACAGAAACTCTTTTACTAATAAAATTACAATTAAACCTTGCAGTTATAAATATTAACTAGAGACATAAAAAGAAACCAGATTTATGGACTGTGAATAAACATTTGAATCAAATTCTATAGCAATTTTATTTTGTGCTTTATTTTTTGGTACTAAAAATTATAGAAAATACTCAAAAATGTACTAATTCAGAGTAACAAAACCCCATTACCCTTTTGTTGGTAACATCATTAACATACGAAAACATAAATTAACATTAGATTTATTGGCAAAATATAAAATTCAAACCTTCTAAACGAGCTTTTAACAGTTTGTTTTAAAAGTCTTAGATGCCAAAAAGCTTTTACCATGGGGGGATGGTTCTGCAATTTCTGGAAGTAAATCCTCAAAACTGGAAGCAATTTGAGGCCTTCTATGAACGTTCTGGCCCTGAAACAAGCCTTCATTAGAAACATTATGTTTAAAACACCTTGTTTCCAATTCCAGTTCAGAGGACGTACTTCCAGAAACTTCAAACCATTCTCAGAACAGCCTTGTTGGGAGAGAAATAGAACGCTCTGGAGTGCTCTCAATGGTTTGGTTTGGTTCTGGATTGAGGTATGTTGCACATCCCAAGTATCACATAATTTTAAAGATAAAATCTTTCTGGTATTGTATTTATTTGATATCAGTAAGGCTATTTACATATAAGACTTTTTATCATGTCTATTAAGGTTAAAGAATTAAATGAGAGTTAAAGACAATTGAGAAAGGGAAGAAGGCAGGAGCCAGATTAAGACTCCTTTCAGGGTAGAAAACAAACAAACAAACAAAAGGCAAAATGGAGTTTTCCTGTCTTCTTTTTAAAGCCCTCTTGAGAGGAATTTTCCTGCTCTTGACTACTTTTCTTCCACAATTGATTTTCTGGGGCTCTGGTGGTGTCTGCCCAATATTACATTTAGCTAAGTTTTCAGGTGAGACTCAGGTTTTCCCTTCACTGTTTTATGTCTGATTCTTTTGGAACAGGAGTATTAGACCAATCAAAAAGACTCCTCCTCTTAAGAGAGCATCCTAAAGTAGACTGGTCTGCCCACGCTCTCCAATAAAAAACATTTTTTTCCTTAACGTAAAAAGAACTAGAATTGTTAAGTGAATCTTCAATACAAATCATATTCCATTTTCCAGTGGTAGAGAAGTGGGAAGTAAGAGAGCAAGTCAAGTCACCTTCATTATATGGTCCACTGATTTGGTATGCAGATGTTGTAAACAGTAAAGAATTTACTCTACAGAATCCACAAGTGCTAGACTTGATCATCTAGATGGGCAACATGACTTTCTCTATCTTATCTTTCCTCTTCAACAATCAGGTTAAAAAATTTCTAATTAAAATCACAATGCCTCTTGCATGTTTAAAATGACCACTTACATAATCCTCCTTATTATAACTATTACACAAATCCATGGGGAAGGAAAAGGGAAGGAAGTTATTCTAGTTAATCTATCAAAATGTATAATTCCAAAATGAACAGATTTAGAGAAATAGGAAAATGCAAAGGGAGGAAGAAGAAAAACAGCATGAGAAATAAATTTAAAAGGCAGAGTAAAATTGTAAATGAAATAGGAATTTATCATATTTTTCAGTAGCCAAGGAGATATATGTTTAACAAGCACATCTGCAATTAGCCAAAACTAAAGATACAAATACGCATTACAGCAAAACATAAGAACATAATCCCTGCTTCCAACAGGAACATAGTGGTAAGATACTTTTCAGCTTCCATATGATTTCTAAGTCATCTGATAATTGCAAAACAAGGATATATGTAAACATGTTGGAATATTGAAGATTCTTCTTTAAAGCAATATTCCTTGTTGTATTGAACATATTTCTATCTTGTTCAACTTCCTTGACATAATTCAGAAAAACAGATACTTTTTATCTCCCCAATTAGTTGAGTGGATGAGGCCTTCCGTAAAATTCCATTCTTCAGAGCAAATCTCACAGTGAATTCCAAGGCTGTATGGAAAAAAGCTGGAATGCTGTCTCAATATTTAGTTGTTAATGTTCAGGCAAAGCCAATACTATCAGAGCGGCCATAAGAAACCCCAGCTGGCTTTTCTCAGCTTCTTCCTCACCTCTACATTGGCTCAGCAAGAGATTCCAGGGGTTATTTTGTCCTGAAGAATCTTTACCACCTTTAGTGAATCAATTACCAATGTATCCACTGACTTCCCACAATTTTCCAACTGAAATATTCTTTATCTAATCTGGTACCTGTACTGTGAAAAACATCTTTAATAGCTGGTATATCCTCTCCCATCTTCAGAATGCCATGAACATCTTTCCCAGTAGTTGCCCAAACTATCACCTTTGTGCAGAAATATGACAGCACCCAAGGAAATTTGGCTACTCAAATAAATACAGGTAGGCCTCGTTTAATGACCATTCATTCAGCACCCAAAGTTACCGTGGCACTGAACAAATAATACTTACGCCCAGTCCCTGAAGTTATGGCATTGCAGTGCCCATAAATCATGTAATCAAAATTTGGGCACTTGGCAGCCTGCCTGCACTTACAACTGCCGGGGCACTTCAGCTCCCCCAACTTCTTGGTGGCAGTGCTAGGGCTCATGTAGAGGCCCAGGGGCAGCTAGCTGAGATTGCTGAAGGCCCCGGGCCTCTACTTCAGCCCTAGCACCGCCAATGCCAAGGAGTGCCACCATGCAGAATGGCCAAAAGGGCAGAGATGGGAGGGGAGATAGGTGAGTGGAAAGAGTTGAAGAGGCAGTTCCTTACCTTACCAAGGCTTGGGGCTGGGAGGGACCAAGCTGGGAATGGCTTGGATTGCCTAATGACCGGTAGGATTCAGTTAACAGCAGCAATGAGGACTGCTGGGATTGTCATCGCTTGCGATGCAGTCACATGACATCACGCTTTATGACCGCATTGCTTAGTGCTGGAAATTCCAGTCCCAATTACCATTGTAACTTGAGGACTAGCTGTAAACCATCTCTGCTAATCAAAACAAATGAACAGTTTCTGGTTCCAGTTGAACCAATTAAAAGGTTATTAAGATAAAAATATTGTACAGGATACGAAAGACTGGTGATACCTATCCAAATACAGTGTTGTTCTGATTAGAAGTAAATGCCAGGAATCCAAAGTAGTTTCATACCAATAGCACAAGGGCATCAAATCTCTTCCTGGAACAGGGTACATCTCTTCCTTGTGGAAATGATTGGTAGGAATCTCTGGCATGTGACTGAGTCTTTTGCAGTTTCAACTGAAATCCACAATTGGCCTAGATGGTTCTGAAACCCTTAAAGAATGAAGTTCAGGTCTGGGGACAAACAGAGCTAAATGCAATCTTCTTGGAGGTTTTCAACTTGTTTTCAATTAAAATTTCATCTTACATGCTCTGAAAAGGCTTTTTCCCTGATCAAAGGCACCCAGTGACACAGTTGACATTCCAATTCTTAAACTATATTGACTCCTGGCTGGGACATAAAAATCTTTACTTGTAAACCAAACACTGCCTAAGCTGGAATCAGACTAAGGACTGCAGCTTTTGCCAAATTATTGATTCTTTGTCTGATCTCACCAAGTTCTACAGGAATGAGCTCTAACAGCTGTTTTAAGTACAGAATGAAAATGTGGAAAAAGAGGTGCCTATAGCTGCTCTGTTATCTCCTGCAGAAGCTTTTCTGAGAAAGCTGTCATCAAGCTTTTCTTAGAAAACTATCATCAGATGACCAGCTGTCATCTGGGTGTTTTGGAGTGTCTTCTCCATCCTTAATAAATTGCCTGTAGTCACTAAGAAAGGTAAGAGGGTGTTCATTAAGGGAACCTGAGAGAATAAAGGACCTTCTGGGGGAGAATGGACAGGTCCAAAGAACTGGAGTTTCCCACTCAAATGTTAATATTTCACTGAAAAGTTCCAAAAAGGAAAATAACAAATCCTAAGCAACTAAAGTTTTACTTTGAAAAAAGAAAAGAAAAACAGCATTTTGGAATAGGATCATTGTTATCTAGTCAAGCGTGGCACATTTGTCCTCTTTGGCTGGTAACTCTCTTCCTTTCTGCCTGGAGTAATTAGGGATGCAGAAGTATCACAAAATGAATGAGGAAGCTGAAAGCTAAGCAGACTGGTGCTCCAGAAGGGTGCAATTGGTGGACTTGTTTTTAAGTAACGGGAATAATGCTACTGAAACTGTAGGGGTTGGGGGAGGAGTACTTAGAGCCTGAAAACCTGTGGCACTTACATGCTGTTTATCTGTAAATCTGACTTTTGCACCCTGAACTAATGGGTAATACTAAAGCCAAAAGAGTAAATGGATAATTTCCAGGTTTTTTGCTACCAAGATGGAAATCATTAGAATTAACACTTGATTCTCCCCAAAACCTGAAAAGGGAAGCTCCAAAATTAAGAGAGCATTGGATGGGGGGAATTTAGCTAGGATTATATGCCTAACTCAATTTCATAGACCTGATGGAACAAGTTGTCAGTGATCGTAAGTGATGGAGGGATCAGCCATCTAATCTGCCTAGGCTGTCCAATCCAGTTCCGTGGAGAAGCATCTGTTTCTGACTGAGAGGCATATGGTATGTAGCCAATGCTTCTGCAGACACAGCTGGAGTTAAACATTTCTGAGAAGAGGAAATTCACCAAGGCAGGTGGCTATTCTTCCAATAGATTTGAATTCATTGTCTGTGTTCTCAAGAAACAAACTTTCTTTTTCTCTTAGATTTCTAGTTGTTTGAAGAGTTGCTACAGTAATGCAATTTAAGCATTTTCTAGCCTTGTTCTACTTAATGTAGCATTCTAATATAGATTAGAACATTGTTGCAGTAAAAGGATGGTAAAACAATGTTTGAAGATTCTTCAGTCAAATGCCCTAAACTGAAGTGCAGCTACTATCAAGCCATATTTTCCTGTACTTATTAATGTCAATAGTAATTGGGCAGTGGCTAAATCTAATGAAAAATACATACATACTATGATGTTTTGCAACATGCTATACTAAACACCATAACTATTACTCTCACCTTAATGGACTTTTAAGGCACTAGTGGACTGCAACAAATTACTTGAGTTCTTCACAGGTATATGCAAAATCCATCATTCAGGAATGGAATTTTCTGGAGACCTCTGAACTATTCTCCTCCTCTAACCCATTCCAGGGCTCATTAGGCAGTTTTCATGAATGGGAGGTTCTGTACATCCCAAGTTCTTATTGAATCTTATCATTTACTGTTTCTTTAATTTAACCAAAGCAGAATGAACAAATCACACAGAAGTCATCAAAGTAGATTAAGTAGATTATGTATCAAAATTCATTTTAAAGAAATTTTAGTTACCATAGTTTACAGCTATTGCTAGTATTTACTAGGTATAACAATAGCTGTATCTGTGGAGCATGCAGTCTCTTGTAACATGCATGTGCAAGAATGAAAAATTGCAGGAAAATGTAAGTTCCTGAAGCAAGTAGAACCTCTCCACCTTTGGAAAGCCACCAAATGATTCTTATCACTTTCACGTATCCACGCTCCATTCCATTCCAACCCAAGCTCCATTCCAATCTATTCCAACCCTTTCATGTATTAATTTGAAATTTAAACAAATTGCACAAATCCAGGATTTCTAAATAGTTACCACATTTTCTCTCAAAATAAGTATTTTCAGCCAAAAACTACATCAGGGCACTTGAGAAGCCCTGAAAGTCAGTGTAGTTATAGATTCCAATCTGCATAGGTCTTGGTAGCCTATGTCACAACAGTTTTTTAAAAAAAGTAATGAATACTGATTTTTTAGGCATCCTTCTATATCTGAGTGGCTTTATGACAAGTAACTTTTACTAACTGATAACAGATGAATAAAATTACTGTTATCTCCTGTATCTCATTTCATCTTGATTTGGAAAGAGTGTGCTTAGGTAAAGTTCCTACTTTGTTCTAATAATTCCTAAGTTTTGTCAATGTATAATTAGCTAGTGAACAAAGCTTTCAGTTCACACTGATGAACAATTTAATTAAATCTAAAGGAATTCATAGGAATAGTAAACAAAATATGAAACAGCTTTGTAAGACCAACCACCCCCCAAAAAAACAAGAGACAAGAGAGATAAATCAAATACCAAAGGAATCAGATTAGGTTCCCCAATCATATTATTTTCATTTTTTGGCTCTCTGCTTCGCGAGGAAGAACGGCGTTTGTGTTTTGCTGGTCGACCAGGTGAACGAGATCTAGAGCCTGATCTAGATCTGCTACCACTACGTCTTGATGGAGAACCCGAAGAAGAGCTGCTTTTTCTAAACCGAAAAGATGACACAGACTGGAAAAAAGCAATCAAATAAAATTAGTTATTCTATTACAGCTTAACTAGCAACTAATTACTAATATCTATATTTTCATTAAAAAACTGCACATTATTTTAAATAATCCAGGTTCTAGAAACATTACCTAGAAGAGTTAAACATAATGAAATGACAGGAAAATGCAACAACTGGTTCAGAAATCATGTGATTTGTAATAACTGTAACAATATGTGAATAATATATTGATATCCATCTAAGAAAGTATATAGGAAATCCATACCTAATCATAACCTGTTTCAAAAATTAATATGAACTATATTAAAGGCCTTTCAGCATCTAAAGGCAACATAGTACTTGCCAAGGATGCCCATTATCTACTTTACTTTTTAATTTAGAACTGTTAGAGGTGCAAATTAAATCATCTTCTGATATAGGTGAAGTAAAGGTTGATTCTTTAGAATACAAGATTTTTCTTTATGTCAATGATATGTTGGTTATGCTTAGTAATTGTACTTCCTCATTATGAGCCCTAATGAGTAAAATTCAGTCATACAGCTTATATTCTGGATATAAGATTAATTGGGGTAAATCTAATTTACTTCCTTTAAGGTCAAATATCTCACCAGAATGCTGTACACACATGGGACTTGTGGTCTTTACTAATTTTATTAAATATTTAGGGATTTTTATTCCTAAAGATATTTTAACATTTATCCAAGTTAATGCATCTACTGTGCTGGAATTTTGATAGATGGTATAAGATACCTTTGACTTGGTGTGGTAAAGTAAATGTAATTAAAATAAATATAACTCCCAGGCTTGAATATGTTTTAAGAGCGATACCTAAGTTTATTCCCAAAAAATATTTTGATCAAATTGAGATTTTGAGGAAAATTGATTCCAGTAAAAATATCGATACTAAAATATAAGCCCAGTTATATTTCTGAAAATCCAGATGATTAAAGATGAAATTAATCCATCAAAAGATTGTTTTTCCTATCTACTGGAGACTATCTAGAATGTTTTGTAAAGGATAGATTTATTATGGCATTGCAAGAAATGTGAGGGCACTTTAGGGCATATGTTATGGTCATGCTCTTCCTTATGCCACTTTTGGAGTATTATTACATAGTAAGTTGACAGAATTATTGAGAAAACTCTGGCTTTTAAAGACATGAGTATTGTGCTGAATATATATATACAGGCTACTTGGAAGTTAACATGCTCAAAAAAAAAAGGATGGGTTTTTCATGCTCTAATAATACCCAAAAAAATAATCCTTAGGAGATGGAAAAATACTGTAATTCCAGATATAAAGGACTGGATTTCAGATGCATGATTTAGCAATTTTTGAGGAAATTATATATGTGGTTAATCAGAAAATTATTCACATAATCTTTCCCTTTGGAAAAAATTCTTGGACAAGTTTGGTCAACACTGAAAGCTTAGTTTAAAAAACAAAAAATCAGCTAAACTCAGGATATAGTTACAATTACAGTTCTTGTTTGTTCTTTTTATGTATTTTCTTGTTGTGCAATGTTTTTCCTTTGGTTTTTCTGTGTATGGTAAATTGTTCATTTTTATTTTACATTATTTTATGTTTGAAAATGGATTAATAAACACTCTCTGGTAATTAAAAAAAGAAGAGATAGGAAAATGAATGATAATAATTGGCAAATAAGCCAATTGTGAAAATTAAAACATACAAACATTTTGAAAGTCAGCTTATCTGCAGGTGGTGCATTTTTCATGGTATTTTGGCTAAAAATTTGAAAGTCAGCTTATCTGCAGATAAGCTTATACCCAATTCAGTGTGTGTGTGTGTGTGTGTGCATGCGCGTATGTGTGCACACACACATACACACACACTCATACCATGATATATGGAAATTAAATTTTATTTACATTGTTTAAACAAAGTTTTATATTTTCATACTTCACTACACTGTGTGATCCCAGTAATTAACAAAGATCTGATAGACTTGGATGTACAGTAATGTCTCCATTTAATGGACTTCATTGTAGCAGACTTTGGATTTAACAGACAAAACCTACAGGATCTGGATAGTTGCTGCATTTGGCACTCTGTGGTCCTAGTCTGTTGCTCTCTTTACTGACTCTGGGAGCTCCTCTGATTTGTTGATTGGCCTAATCTATTAGGTTGGGTGACTGTTTTAGCTCTGGAGCTCCCAGGCTCAGAACCTCAGCTTCCATTTGACTCCTTACCTCTGACATGTCTTTGGTGCATCAACTTTAACACCTACAGGTTAAATTATTTTCTTCTCATATACAAGTATGTTTTTCAGCTCAAAAATCTCATTGGTTATTTAAGAGATATTTAACTTTAATGGACACCCCTTTTCCCCATTAGTACATTAAATCAAGGGTTTGCTGTATTGAACACCTAAGATTCTTATATACTAAAAACAGAACTGATTAGACATTAATTTTCCTTGGAGTTGCTAAATATATTCAAAAGCAAAAGTAGCCATAAGATTTCTTCCCAAGTGTAATTATTTTGTTCATCAAATGTTTTGTGGTACAAATGAGCATATAAACTCAGAGTCTAGTCCATTTGAAAATGTTCTTGGTTCAATACTTTGCAAGAATCAAAATGCAAAGTCAGGAAACTTATGTACAGTTACTGGACTTCTCCAGATTTTAAAATGCCTCTGGAAAGCAAGTGAACTAATCCCAAAATAATGCGCATCAGATTTACACATGTAAAGCAACTGAAAATCTGTAGCCTTTCAGAAATAGAGATAACTCCCGTCATATCTGACTTTGAACAAACTGCCTGGGGTTGATGGAATACAATATTATCTAGAGAATCAGAACTTGCCCATACCTGCCGTGCACAAGAAAGGAACACTTTTAACATCATGATACTTTAAAGAAATAATGCTTTCCAGAAGAAAACACATGTGGTAGCGTTAGCAGGAGAAATCTTGTTGAGTTTAAACTTGGAGAGAGGGAAAGCAGCAGGCAACAACCACAGAAGGACTCTTCCTTCCCTGCACATAGGACTATAACCACTAACTGCCTTGTTGGACTGATCCTAGAAGTTTGTTTATCAATAATATTTATTCTATTTTATAGTTTATATCGCTTGTTAGCTGCTTTATCATGAAAGCATTTTATCATGAAAGCAGGAATAGAACTAGCTATAATAAACAAACAAACATACATAGTTTTGGGAAACATGTGCACAATTGTGTATCATTGACAAAAGTTTCACAAGTAAGCTAACCAAAACTTCAAATATATATTTATTGACCCCAAAGGTTGCTTACCCTCATATCATTTTCTTTCAGATTAAGTTCAGTTCCATCTTCATATTTAACTGTATAAAGATGTGTACGGTCATCATAACTGATTACTTTTACTTCATAGTATAACACACTTCCAGGCCATCGGCCCATTACCACTTCTTCATCTGCAAACTTTCTCTTGGGCATTTTTCAATCAATTCTAAAAAGAAAAAAGGGTGTGTGAGTGTGCATGGACTAATAAATTAAGTTGCTATTTTAAAATCTGTGGACATTCAAATCCTATCTTAACCTGTTCGGTACACTGGGAAAATAAAGTTATATCTTTTTGAACAGAAAGTCCACATAAACATCAAGTAAATAAATAAGCTAACTCTTCCTCCAGCTGAATGAGGGGAATGAAAGAGACATGTGGACACTGGTCAGATTAACTACTAAAGTGTATAACAATAAAGGATCTGACACAGATTCCACTGTTCCTATTTCAAATAATCAAGTGACATTATGAAATTAAACACAATGTGTGCACTGTGACCTACACAATAATCTGAAACACGAATTACAGACTTCTTCATTTGATTATCTGTTAGGGTTTACTCCAAAATCTCACCATTTCAAGACATATACTAAACTCATCATCATCAATCTTTGTTTCAGTTGTAGACCACTATCAATTTTATAAAATTACAACCATTCTGGGAATAAAAATTTAAGGTAAGTAACAGATTAATAGCAAAGTTATAGGGACTACTAACACAAAATTGTAAAACTTTATAACATTAAATTCTAACTATAAAAATTGTACTAACTACTGATATTAAAACTACAAAGACTAAGATATGGCAATGCAGTACAACAGCAGCATACTATAAATTAGAATTTAAAAAGTCATCAGATCAAACAATCTGGACTATATGATGTAATAAACTAAGAATTTATATTACAGCCACTATGCTGTAGATTCAGTGTATTTAGTTAAGTTCAAGATCAAGCACAAAACTCTAGGCTTGAAAGAATGGGTAATTTTTAATATTTTTAAGCGCTTAAAAATATAATTGGAAATATTTTTAAGTGCTTAAATTGACTTTTCCAGACACAGTTAGTACTAAATGTACCATTCAAAGGAACAAATGTTAAAATTATATATAACACACATTTAATACAGCTGAAGAGTCAGTTTGGTGTAGTGGTTAAGGCATCAGGCTAGAAACCAAGGGACTGTGAGTTCTAGTCCCACCTAGGCCCAAAGCCAGCTGGGTGACCTTGGGCCAGTCACTTTCTCTCAGCCCTAGGAAGGAGGCAATGGCAAACAACTTCTGAAAAATCTTGCCAAGAAAACTGCAGGGACTAGTCCAGGCAGCTGCTGGGAATAAAAACCTGATTTGAAAGCACAATTCTCTCCCCCCTCCCAAACTACCTGATAAATATTACCGTATTTTTCCGTCAATAAGACGCCCCCATGTACAAGATGACCCCCACTTTTCCAACCCAAAATTAAGAAATCAATATTTTAAAGATAGTGCAGAACAC